CCTTCATCCAATCAGGGGCAAGCATACACTCTGACGCACTTCCTGCCTACGTACCTCCTGCCTGTGTGTGATCAAGAACATCCGGTGCAGCTGGGTCAAATAGACTTATTTAAGATGTGGAGACATGTGGTTTGTTATATGGACACCCAGCTTTTAGCACCTCAGGAAGTATCTCTCCTTAGGCAAGTGGGGCTTATCAGTTAACTTAGCCCTTACAATAGGAATGAGAAATGAACAGGAAAAATGGTCTAGAGACACAGGCACATTCTGAACCTCTCACTAGACATGAAAAAACAAAACAAAACAAAACAAAAAACAAGAGGCAGAAGCACAAAAAGAAACTCCCATGAAATGAAATGTGGGTAGCAAGTGTATCATAGAGTCCTAAAGCAATCTAAAAGGGGCTCTAGGAGTTTTTTTAAATATTATTTAAGAGAAAAAGAAAAGAATGACAAAAACTGGAATAAAAAGGAAAGTTTTGCTTTAAAGTGGCAATATACATTCTAGCAGGAAAAAGACAAGCCATTAACCCTGTCAAGCTTTAATGTATGAATTATAGATTTCTTTTAGAGATTTATTTATTTGATTTTATGTGTTTGAGTGTTTTGTCTGCATGTATGTATGTGCACTGTGCATGTGTGCATGCATGCCTGGTGTCTGAAAAGATCAGAAGAGGGTAACAGATACTCTGGAACTGGAGTGATGGACAGTTGTGAGCTGCCACGTGTGAGCTGGGAATCGAACCTAAGTCCTCTGCAAGAGCAGCAGCCAGTGTTCCTAACCTCTGAGTTAGGAACCTCATCTCTCTGGCCCCCCAAGTCATGAATATTAGACAGAAAAAGAATGTGAGCTCCAAGTATGACACTGAACCTAAATGCTGTCACCACGACTGCATTACATAAAAATGAAGACATTCATGTAAGTTAGCAACAAGTTAGAGCTCACCCATTACAACTGACTTCTCAGAAACCATGGATTCCAGAAGATAGTGAAAGAAAATTGTTTCCACACTAAGGTGTTTCCACAACTTATTTAAGCTTTCTATAACTTGCTACGATTTCACTTTTAAATGAGAAAAAAAAATAAAGATCCTGACAGACTTTGAACAACAGACACTACTTGCTACCAAGACCTTCAGAGAAATACCGAAGGATATACCAAAGGCCAGAACAAAATTAAATTCAGAAGGGAAGAGTGAAGCACAGAAACACACTGGCAAATGGAAATAAGCAAATCATGTTGGGAAACCTCCATCAGCCTTGACTGTGGAGATACAGGGCCCTGTTGGCAATAACACCAAAGGGGGGCACTTCGAAATTAAGGAGTTTAGAAGTACTTGTCTATCTTAGGAGAGGTGAACATGTGAATAAACTTTAGACTTTGGAAATGATGCTATAAGTTTAACAGTATAAACTATGTTAATTGAGAAAGAGGATTTCTTGGCTATAAACTGAATGCCCTTGGGGAAAAAAATTCAAGACATATTTTCAGACCTTCTTGTAAGTTCTTGTCCAGAGTGTCTGGAAGTGTCTCTATTTCTGTGTGAATTAGCACTACCTGCATCCAAGTTAAGTTTGCTGAGAAATCATAGTTCATACTATTCATGCTCAGTGGGACTTGTTTTCTGGGTTCTTCCTTTCAGGGTCCCCAGGATGAAGAGACAAACTGTGAGCCAGGAAATATCAGAAAACCAATGTGCCAGAAGGAGATGCTTTCTAAGCTAGTGTCTTGGCATGTAATGTTTTTGCAGGTGATTGGTGTCAGGAGGTAATTTACTAGACCCTGATCATCAGAAACTAATTATTTTGAAGTGACAATTTAAATTGTGTATTGGCAGGAATTGAATATTTAAGCTAATGAGTTTAATGAGTATCAGGAAGTGTTTTCCTCTTTTCTTTTTCTTTCTTTTTTATTTTTTTACAATGATGTAATAACCGTTGGCATTCTCTGTGTAATAGTAGGAAGGCTTAAGTGCTGAAATGTTTGAGCAGTCCCGTTGGAGAGAAAAGTGCTCTGGAAAAAAAAAAAATATATATATATATGTGTGTGTGTGTGTGTGTGTGTGTGTGTGTGTGTGTGTGTGCTATTAGCTTCCTCCTTAGCCTGGGCGAGATGCAGAACTCATTGTCTGAAATTGTCCAGCACATATTGGCTTATCTAAAATCCAGAGCCACATACCAACTCCTTGGGTAGAAGTCTTTTCATCTGTATGTGATGAATATTAACCAATGTTGCCCCCTGTCTGCAAGCACATCGATGGATGCTTGTGGGGAGGAATAATGGTCTGGGGAAATACTGGTGTAATGACCTGTGGGGGGCGGACTTTTTCTCAAAGGTGTGGCGTGTTACTCTTTATCTAAAGACCTAAACTATGGAGTGGTTGAAAGAAACCATACCCTTTGTTCACAGAGTGTACAGACTGAGCAAGCACACTGGGAGAATGGTTACCAAGTTCTTCTACCCACAGCAGTCCTAAAACAGCAAGACCTTGTCAGCTCAGTCATGTCTCATTGCTGTCATTCTGTGAGAAGTGGACAACTCAAGAGCAGCAGTCTACTCTTTTGAATCAGGGACTCTCCGGATTCAGCCCAGCACCTGGCACATAGTGGTTTCCCAATCAACTTTTGTTTTTGAGTGGAAGTTAATTAAGGAACTCCTGGAGCTCAGTGTGACTCCCATCGTCTCAGGAAAACATTATCTCCTCCACAGCTTATTAGTCTTTTATCCCATGTAACCCAGACAACATTAGGACTTGCTCTCTACTATATAGTTAAATTTGGATATATACATATACATACACATGAGTTTACACACGCGCGCGCGCGCGCGCGCGCACACACACACACACACACACACACACACACACACATGAAATTTACATTTCAATTCCTCATACTAACCACACTTTAAGAGTTCAATATCCACACATGACTAACAGCTACTACAGTCAGTAGTACAGCTATGGGACATTTCCATCATTCTAGAAAGTTCTATGTCATGAGGCTACTATAGAAACCTAGCTGGGATCTCTATGGCCAAGTCTTATTTGACTACTTACTGAGTAGATACAGTTTTCCCTGCCTGAAGCACTCCTTTTTCCCACAGTACTTAACAAAGTCCTTCTCTTCTTTTGGTATTGATGACTGAATCATCCTATCTCCAGCTAGGTCAAACTGATTGATCCTTGCCATATGGATATTTTAAGTACCTTTATGTAATTACTTGGTTAAATACTTGGCCTATTGTTGTGTAATATTAAATTAAGATGTGTTACATTTGTTTATGCTGTGGAACATTTGTTTTAGTGATGCAAAGATGTGTTGTATTCTCCTATGGAGCTAGTATTGTTTAACTCTGTGAAGCTGTGTTACTTTGCCTGTCTAAAACACCTGATTGGTCTAATAAAGAGCTGAAAGGCCAATAGTGAGGCAGGAGAAAGGATAGGCAGGGCTGATAGGCAGAGAGAATAAATAGGAGAAAAAAAGAAAAAGGGAGATCAAGAATTGAGAAAAGAAGGGGCCAGCTACCCAGCCATTACAGTCAGCCATGGAGTAAAAGTGAAAGTAAGATATACAGAAGTTAGAAAAGGAAAAAGCCCAGAGGCAAAAAGTAGATGGGATAATTTAAGTTAAGGAAAACTGGTTAGAAATAAGCCAAGCTAAGGCTGATCATTATAAGCAATAATAGGTCTTTCCGTATGTGATTTATTTGGGAGCTGGTTGGTGGGCCCCTCCAAAAAGCCAAAAGAATAAAAAGAGCAGGAAAAAAAAAAAAACAAACTGCTAGCACTAGGAGTCTAGGAACAGCCATATTTTGTCCAGCATTGTATCTCCACTGCCTAGAAAATCAAGAGAGTTTGCATTTGTTGCAATTTTCACTGGCCAGCCTGTGAATGAACCATCAACTTCAGTGTTTGCACCTGGGCATTGCAATGGTTGGTGTCCTGCAAGACTGACACTCAGCTGACAGACAAAGAGAAAGCTTGGTCCATTGTTCACAGCCATCATTCCTTGGTTGCCATCTCTCTTTGTCCACCTTCCTTGGCTATGGTAAATATTTCTAACATTGCTCTGTCACCCATGAAGGTCTGTCAGAATATTTCAGACTCTCAGGGTGAGTAGCCTGACCGTGCCAAATGAGCATTTGCTTCATAGAACACAGCCTTCCATGTAGATTTTGAAATAAGTTCTCGAATTCTTCCTATGTAGATATGACACCTTTTCATCATCAGAAGCTTGATGCTGAACCCTTGGATGTTTTCTGGAGGATGTTTCCCTAGGAAAAGGTTTACTGCCTGGTCCAACTCTGAACACACACACACACACACACACACACACACACACACACACACACACACACACACACACACATCAATGTTTCAATACTGTGGCCACCATTCTCCCAAGTGTCCCAGACTTTTGCTGTTACCTGGGCAAACCTTCGTTAGCGGCCCCAGCCTATTGCTGCCAGGAGACTGGGGAAAATAGACAGTTACATTTGAGTGTTTCCTGAAGTGTTTCGGTCAGCACATTTCACAAGTGTAGAGCACAGGCAGACCGAAACGGCAACATAAAGGACAGCCCACTCAGGCTCCTGTGAGCTTTCTTGTCTGAGTTCATGCGGCTCTCGCTCCCAAACGGAAGTGGAAAACCAAATAAAGTCAACTCCATGGAGGTCCCGGGGACTAACACTGAGCAGCCTCACGAATACCAGAGTGATGCATCATGATTCATGTTATTACAATAAATGCCTAAGAAAGTAATAAGGATTTGGCACTTAGTATAAAGCATTGGCAAGACAGCTTGAAAGTTTTCTGCTTGTTATAAAGTATAGCCCAGGACATTGTCTATCATTGAGCAACAGGCATGAGCAATGTTATCTATGGTAGGATAGGAGTTATTCACAGAACTTTAGTAAATGATGTCAAGCTTCCTCCCTCCCTCCCTCCCTCCCTCCCTCCCTCCTTCCCTCCCTTTCTTCCTCCCTCCCTCCCTACCTACCTTTCCGTGTCCTTTCCTTCCTGGGAGAGGCTTCAGAGCAAACATTAAGATATTTTTCCCAGTGCATCTCCAACAGTCTACTATTAGAAGATGAAATACAGACCCAGAGAATTCAGATGTCACCTTCCCCAAAGTGACTTGCGTGGGGGAAAGATGCTCTGGAAAGCTAGACAAGCGTCCTCCTGATTTAACATCATTCACCTTTCCATAATGGGCTCTGCACAGCACAGGGGCTGGTTCAGACAGGAAGTATTGGACTAGCACTTAGAGGACAACAGAAGAGATGCAGTCCAAGTAGTTTTCTAGGTTCTTCAGAGCACGGAAAAAGGCTGTGGCCTCCCTGGGAAAGAGGTTCTCTCATGGAGAAAAACAAAATCATCTTGGATCTCCTCAGGCAACTAAATGGTGTCTATCCAGCAAACACATCCACACAGGCCAGTGTTGAGATGGCTGTATCATACAGGCAAGTCAATCAGTCCTGTGATGGTTCCAAGGCAGCCAAAGTATGTAGGAACGAGGTGGCCATCCTTCATCTTGTGGGTAGAACAAGTTCTCCTGGTAGAGAGCCCAAGGGCTTGGCTGAGGAGAGAAGAGCTGGAAGGATCTTGAGAAGCATTGGCTATGTCTGCTTTCCCGCTTGTTTTGAGGGATCTGAACAGTATCTGCCAAGACTTACCAGATCTGAACCCTCAAGCAATGGGAGTCAGGAAAAGGGGGAGTGAGAAGAGAGGTACTTCTGCAAGGCAGTGGCTCTGTTCCCTGAGATAAAAGGCCTTCTGCCATCTCTCCACAGGTCTTCCAATCCCTACAATAGAAGGTCTTCCCCAGTTTGGCCAAGGAAATTTGGCAAACCCTCCAAGGTTTGGTGAGACAAGGTTGAGTGCTTCCCTGGATCGTCCCACCACTAGCATGATGGACCATGAGGCTTGCCTGGTAAGCAGTGGCTTCCTGATGTATACGAGTTTTCAAGTTAAAATGAGGACAGTCACCCTACCTGCCATGCTCTTTGAACTGACCTTCCCCCGACTTCTTGTTTTCAGCCATCACAGTTCACTTAGAGCATGGTAGACTGTCAATTGGTTGAGGTTGGGTTTGGAGTCATTCATCTTTGTAACCCCTGATCTGGGGGAGAGAAAATAATAAAAATCTAATACTTCAACCGAATTTAGTGCTGAATGAATGAAAGGTAGCTCTTACTCCTGTGCCCCACAGCTTTTCCAGATGTCTTGAATCTAGACATGGAGACTAAGGTGGTACCTCTGTGTCCTTCACCCACGGTAGCTAAATGGATGTCTGAATCCTGTGTCTTCCTCTCCAGTCTCACACCTCTTAATCACTAGAATTAAGAGATTAAGGACTAGGATTTTTTTTCTTTTTTTTCTTTTTTTGAGATGAGGTCTCACTGTGAAGCCCTGGCCATCCTGGAACTCTCTCTGTAGACCAGGCTGGCCTCCAACTCTTGGAAATCTGCCCGCCTCTGCCTCTTGAGTGCTGGGATTAAAGGCATGAACCACCCACCCTGTAGAAAACATTTTTGTCACTATTGTTAAATGCCCTTAGTCTACCATTAGCGGAATATTTTTATGTAAGAGCCATGGTAGTCCCGATCTTTAACTTTCTGAGTTTATATTCAGAATAATCCCTACTGCCCCCATTTTCCAGAAAAGAAATTGATTGCACAGAGAAGTTAAACAACTTGCTCTGATGCCCACAGTTGCTTACAGCTAGCCCAGGGTTAGGCACCCTCATTGGACTTTGAACTGCAGAACCTGTATTTGCAACTACAACCCTCTACTGCCAGATGCTTGGGCGAGGGAGGCTGTATCAGCATGAGGACTATACAGCTGAGGTCTGTAGGTAGCACTGAGAAAGGGGATATACAAACCCTGTTACCCTGTCTCTTGTCCATTAGCCATACTGAGTCTGGCTTCTTAGAAACAAAAGAAAGCACAGTGCAAGAGTGTGGTCCAGGAGATGGAATAGCTAACAAAACAGGAAGGTGGTTCACTGTTTATGAGATAAATGAGAAACCGAGAGCAAGCCAAGGTAGAGCTCTGCCCAAGGTAACAGCCAGACAGTGGCAACGCCAGCCCTGCAGCCTTAATCCCCTGACTTCCTGCCCACGTTTCCTCCCTGCTTCCCCCAACCCCATTCTTCGACTATAAAAAACACACAAGGCTCTCTTTACCACATTCCTCGGGTTTTAAAGGCATTGCTCCTGCTGTCGTACCCCCCACCCAAATTCTAATACTCTTTTCTTTTTTAACATTTGAGGAAGAAAGTGCTATGGTTAAAAGCATTTGAATTCCACTATGTCACTGTAATGTGTAATAAATACCTTTTATTATTTATTACCAAAATGCTTAGGGGCCATGGAAGACTAAAAGCTATTCTGTTTTTTTCTTCTTTTCTGGTGAAGCTCTAGCAAGTTTATTCCCGCCCCTGGGTGGAGGTTGGGGGTCGGGAAGGGAACAGCTGGGCTTGATGGTTTAATCTTCTCAACGCCACAGGCTGTGTCTCTGTGGTTATAGCAGAATTGTCTGTGACTGGAAGATTTCTTTTAGCCTTATGAATGGCAAGCTCCCAGAAACACCTAACCAGGCCCCCACCCCTCAAAAGGAGCCGAATATGCTAATGGAGAAACTGAACCAAGGGTTTAGGTTACCCCAGAGTGCCCAGTGACCAGATATGTCTGTTGCCAGGTAAGAACTACAGAAAGATCTCATCACCAATTAGTTGGGCAAGCTAACTTTGTGGCTATTTCTGGTAAAGAAGAGTGGGAGGAGAAGGAGGAGGAGGAGGAGGAAGAAAGAGTAGGAGGAGGAGAAGAAGGAGAAGGAGAAGAAAAGAAGAAGAAGAAGAAGAAGAAGAAGAAGAAGAAGAAGAAGAAGAAGAAGAAGAAGAAGAAGAAGACCTCTGTCTTAAAAGGCCCACAGACTACAAGGCATCCACACTCTATCCTTCTAGCTCTTCATACCTGCCAGGCAGGAATTTTGTTTGCATTAAAATGGCATCTTCCAAGAGGACCTATGAACTTAAAACAAATGTTGTTTAATTTGCCATTCATTAGGGGTGTATCTGGATTGATTTATTGCACCCTTATGACCCTAAGTCTTTGGAACAGCATTCCTACACGATTAAACAGGGAAAGGGTACAGACAGGACTTGCAAGGATCCCAGAGAAGGCTACAATGATACTGCAAATTGCTGTGTATCAAGTAACCCAAAGGGAACAGGGGACCAGTTCAGCTTTGAATGCATGTGATCCAGACAAGAGTGTGTAAGTCTTTTGACCCAGGTTTACTGAGTCTCGTCCAAGGGATGTGGCCAGTACAGAGCACTATTATCCAGACTGGGGGCTTTTTGAGGACTTTTACCTTCAGGGTATTTGGAGAATGCCTACATACAACTGATGGAAGAAATTGCAATATCTTTTGGTCCCCAGGAAGCCTGCTATTCCTACTAACTACACAGCAGCAGGAGAAAGAGGAGATAGAAACATAGACAGACAATGGAGATGACAATGGAGATGTGCATAGAGAGAAAATAAATTTCCCCTGGCAGTTCAATAGGCCGGTGATCATCAGAAAATGACAAAAAACAAGTTGCAAAGTGCTAAGAGCAAGGCAACAGCAATCACCCTTTAGAAATGGGATCAGCCGCCTCTCCCGTGGGTGGCACAAGTCTAATTACAGCAATTATGAGGAAAGACTAGAGTATTTTATTTTATCTTATTTTATTTTATTTTGCTCTTAATGTGTAAACAAACCATTCGGGGACTGGTAAGCCTCAGCCGACTGGTATTGTTTATTTTTATCTCCTACTGTGACTCACCTTTTTTTAATTGACTTCCAGGAAAATTGTCCAAGGCCTTTGTGGCTGTGGTTGGAGCTAAATACACATATTTACCTGGGGTCAGGGAGGGAGAGTACAGTGCCTTCATTACCCAACTTCCTCAGGCTCAATAACCTCAGGCTGCCCCGCCAAAGTCCGTGGGATGGAGGGACTTGGGGCTTCGACTGAGGACCCTGTACTCCTTTGCTTCCTGTGAGGGCTTGAATGCATGCTCTCCCTGGAAGCAGCTGTCGTTGAGTCTGACCACTCCTACCCACATTCCTCTCCCAGACTCCCTTCCTCCCACCCCAAACTGGCATGTGTCGGGGTGTCTAGCAAGCATTCTGGTTTTGTTTGTTTTTCCCATTGAAACCCAATGGCTATATAAGTAAAGAGGAATGTGGGGGCCCACATGAGGTCAGGAAGTTGCTCACAGTCTATTGTTTGGGGGTGAGGGGATATTAGGAAGCTTGTCTTAGAACTAACTCCCCACCCAGTGGCTGACATTCTACCATTTGTGAAGGACTGGCTTCCCCCAAGAATTCCTGAGGATTTATTAATGTAGTTAAAGAGATGAATTCCCTAGAGTTTCGCCGAAGACTCGAGTGTATAGAACCGCTGCTGTGAGAAGCAGCCTGCTTGCAAATCAAGAGCTGCAGAATCTCTAGAGGATGACTTCCTGCCCCATCCCCCCACCCACCCCCTCCCCCCCAAAAGAATCTTCATGCACTTCAAGGAATGAATAGCAGTTAAGTCTGACCAACTGATGAGCAGCATTTGCACAAACTTAACAATTGATACAATGGGTTGGGTTTCTTTTCTTTTTTTTCCCCCATACTTGAATTTGTCAGAAGCCTGAAGATTATTTTTTTTTATCACCAGAAATTGACTCCTGCAGTTTAAGAATTCTATTTGGAATGAAAATGTTTGCTTCCCAGTTTTAATCCGAATGCAAAGCGAGTGGCTCTCTCTGGGCCCTGACTCCCTCTGTTGGGAATCCTGGTCCTCCCAGGAGCTCTGTAGCCCTGGTTCCCTTAGTGTCCAGGCTGCTTTCCTTATTAAAATCTCTGCAGGATACCCTCCCACCCAGTCCCTCCAAATGTCCCCACCAAAGGTCCTCGTTGAGTGTGGAAGCAGGTGGAGCTGAACAGGCAGGCTCAGGTCTGTCTGGTGGCACAGCTTTCTGAGTTAGGGGCCACATCAGCACAGCAACCCATCTGGCCAGAGAGTGGGGATGAACAACCAAATGGGTGGTGGCCCAAGAGCTCAGAAAAGAACCAAGGGCTCAGCCAGAACTT